AGGCAAATCAGAATCTAGATTTGATGGCCTAAGCTTGAAACACACTGTGGAGTAATTATGAAACTTGGTGAAGTTCTTTTGTACTTTGTTACAAAGCTTTATTTTTAAAAAATAAATACTTTATTTTTTCATCCCAATATATGAAATTTTTAACTAAGTTACTTACACAATGTCAGTAGTAAAATTTTGCAATTTTAATTTGGGGATAACGGTGAATAAACAAAATAATCGTTACAGAATTTAATTTCAGTAACTGAATAGATACTTATTAACAATGAATATTTAACTGAAACAAATGTGTGATTATATCACTTTATTGAAATGAGCATGTTGCAAACTACTATTTGGATGATTCAATGATTAGACTGATCTGCATGTAACCGTGATCTTAAAACAAGTAATTTTTGTCATCTTGAACTTGCATTGCAAGCTGAAAATGGAGCAATCTCTCAAGATCAAGTTTTAAATCTTGACAACACATCGACTCCATGTTGTTAATCCAGCAAGAAATTATTGAAGATTATCGTATGTATAGTATTGTCGCGGTTAAATATTAATTTTTAGGTATGAATTAGTGAAATGAAATTTTTTACCCATTTTATTCATTTGTGGCTGTTACAAATTCGCTTCTCACTACAGGGATCTTGGAAACGATAGGAGATACGAAGTAGCTTAAATGGGGGGAAAATTGCGTTATCAGGGGACCAACATTATGCCTCTAAAAAATCAAGGCTAACATGATTAGTTTTCGAAATATTTGAAAAAAAAAAACGAAATTTTGGAAATCCGTTTTTGTTTAATTTCAGCCTTGTTTGAGATGATTGAGAACATTTTCTCAAGGCAACTTTTTGTGCTCTATTGAATGGGATAATCAATCTTTATATGTAACGTTTATAATAATATGCAATCCTTCATTACCCCCACTATTGTACTGCCTCAGCTCAAACCAGATTCAGAAGTTTTGTCTCTAAAAATCCGTCATTCAATGTATTCGTTCCAAATTTATCTAATTTTTTAAAGATTTCTGTCTCTTGAATTATCGTACACTTTAGTATGCCCTTCAAGGTATCGTTAATTATGCGCATGCTGAGCAATGAACAAGCACAATTAGTCGGTAACCGTGGAACATGCACCGGTAAAGGTAATTGTTAATTGCAAAAAAATCGCGTTTTACAGTAATTATATTTACACTTATGCCGAGCATACTAAACGGTATTTTAGCAACAACAATTAATCGGAAGACGGTCGGCATATGGGCAGAGTGGAACCAAAGGGTCGGGTGACGCCCTTAAAAGTGTAAATAAATATTGCATGTGTAAATGATAGTTACATGTATGCCTATTCGAAATTCAATGGTTTTTGACATAAAGTGTACAATTTCGAAAGGGCATACGATTCCCAAAGGTCTAACTAATTTGACACCTGTATGACTGTATTAATTGCACAGGTATGACAATGATAGTTACACGTATGCCCTTTTAATATATCATCCATTACGGTGAGATTCATTATAAAAATCATCGGCATACAGTTTGTAAGGGATCTACCTGGTGGCATACATGAAAAAAGAGTGCAAATTTTTAGGTTATATTTCAACGATAGTGCCACGTATGCCATTGTTATTTTTGTTAAATATTTACCTAATTATGCCTGTTTGTCAAACGGCATATGAATCAGTTGGAACAAAATTGATTTTATCTGATAAGACAACCACGCAAATTGCCAAACGTATTGCAAACCATAGTGTCACATATGCCATTGTTATTTGTCGGTAAATATTGGCGTAATTAAGCAAGTTTCTCAACCGCATAAGAATCTGACGGGATAATTCAATTCAATATATGTATAAATTATATTATTTCGAAGTACTATTATGCTTATTTACTGAGCAGTAAATAACATTGACATAGAAACACAATAACAAAAAAAAAACCCTTAAGTCGAATAAAAAATCTACTTTTTTTCAGTTAAAACAATATTTCATTTTATTCGTTGCAGCTTTTGCAGGATCGATTTAATTTGTTATAGAAGTGTTATTTGAAAATGAAAATGTTTACAACTGTTCACTACATATTTAAAAATTCATGTTTCCTGATGAGTAATCAATCGCTTACTAAGTTTTATTCTTGGTCGCGCGCATTTACATTTACAAGATTGATCGGCTCTTCATTTTTCTTCTTATTTATTTTCGAATAATTGCATATTATTATATAAAGGAAAAATTGAACTATAAAATTTCATCAATAAAGTTTTATGAATTCGGTAAATTCATCGTGATAGCGACGTTTCACTTTGTTGTAATAATTAATACTCCGATAGTACTTACATTAATCTTGGTTTGAGTAAGTTATTATTTTTGGTTAGTGATACTATATTTTTCTTTGCAAATCAATCTAATAAATAAAAATATCCATAATTTGTGGTAGAGGCTGATTGATTCATATCAAATATATTTTTCTTTTCTTTGTAATTTTCGAATGTAAGAAAAATATTTTATTAGTAAATAAATACATGTGTTTTATAATTTATTATTATTTATAAATGACTGAAAGAGGTCTAACAATTACAAAATGTCTTATTTTATTAATAAAAAAACCTTTTCATTTTTTAACAGTATTTCGCTGGTTGGAGATGGACCCAACAAATCCTATAAGACTATGCTTGACAGGGAGCGTTCTATCCAAATATGAAAAAATATACAGGGTGTTCCATTTAAATTAACAAAGTTAACATCCGCGGACATTTTGTTTTGTTTTTCTACTACCATTTTCGAAAACTATGCCGCGTCTCAGCTACAACACTCAAAAGTGATGGAGTAATTTCGATGCTAAAACTCACAAATAGATATGATAATTCCCGCAGCCATCGTATCAGATAAAATCAATTTTGTTTCAACCGATTTATGTGCCGTTTTAAAAACTTGCTTAATTAGGTAGATATTTAACAAAAATAACAAAGGCATATGTGGCACTATTGTTTGCAATGTGCTTGGTAATTCGTTTGGTTATATTATCAAGTAAAATGATTTTGTTCCAACCGATTCGTATGCCGTTTGTCAAACTTGCATAATTATATAAATATTTAATAAAAATAACAATAGCATACGTGGCGCTATCATTGAAATATAACTTAAAAATTTGCTCTCTTTAAAACAGTTTTTTTAGTATGGGTTCCACGATAACCGTATGCCCTTTAGGAAATCAAAAGTTCATGATAAAACAGTCACTTTGCAATCTCAATTTAATTTGGCATTATCATTGTCATAACTGTGCAATTAATACACAATCATGCAGGTGTGAAATTAGTTAGGCCTTCGGGAACTGTATGCCCTTTGGAAATTGTGCACTATGCCAAAAACCCTTGAATTTCGAATAGGCATACGTGTAACTATCATTTACAAATGCAATATTTATTTACACTTTTAAGGACGTCACCAGACCCTACAGTTCCACTCTGCCCGTATGCCGACCGTCTTCCGATTAATTGTTGTTGCTAAAATACCATTTAGTATGCTCGGCATACATGTAAATAAATAAATAAATAAATATAATTAGTACTGTAAAACACGATTTTTTTTTGCAATTAACAATTACCTTTACCGGTGCATGTTCCACGCTTACCGACTAATTGTACTTGTTCATTGGTCAGCATGCGCATAATTAACTATACATTGAAGGGCATACGTGGTGAAATCATACGGTTTCTTTGCAGCGGGCTGACGGCCTATAAGTAAAACCCTGTAAAATCCACCTAGTTATTTAAAATATCACATGTAAAAATAAAACATTATTAGAGTTTTAATTTCGTGTTCGTAGTTTAATTTTTTGCAGGATATTCATACAGATACATCGGACACTCTTTCACAGCTGCAGTTACAGGTATAATAAATTCCGATCTTATTATGCTTATCTTCATTTTCAACATTTGCCAAAATGGAAACGTTTTTGAACATTTACTGTAATTTTTTAAAGTATAATATTTATTTGGAGTTTTGGTTGTTCATATGCATTTTTAAGAATTAATTTGTCATAATGAAATTAAAAATAAGGTTTTAAGTTTGAAGCAACAACTTATCAAATTATGTATGACTAGGTGATGGAGATTAAAACTCTTAGGGCCGGTACTTTCAGTCTAGATTAAATACACCGTTAACTAATCGATCTATAAATTAATCCTAGTAAACTAACTGAAGTTTAAAGGATATTGGGTACTTTACGGTTTTTTCAAACACTAGGTTAGGTAAACTGGGTTTGAATTAGGATAGTAGGAAAGACGTACGTCGTACACAAATTTTAAATTTTATGTTATGATGCATGTCATGTGTCATACATTCCTTGTCAAATCTACGATTTTTTAATTACTTTTGCGGTGTGTGTTGAGCTATAAAATGGATAACAAGAAAAAAAGGAGAACAAACTTTACTGAAAATGAAATCGGTATCCTTATGAAATTATTGGCAGCAGAGCTGAAAACAATTGAGAACAAAAAAACTGATGGTGCAACCCTTAAAGAAAAGAATAATGCATGGTTAAGAGTAAGCACGGCTTTTAATAGTATGAATATTGGTGGTGGACATAGGGACATAAATTCTTTAAAAATGAAGTACGACAATATAAAAAAAACATTAAAGAAGAAAATATCAGATAATAAAGAAAATTATAAAGGAACTGGTGGAGGTCCACCGATTGACATCAAGTTGTTATGGTATGAAGAGGAATTGTATTCACGTTTGCAACTTGGTATAGAAGGATTGCCTCCTGTTGGTGACAGTGATGATCCAGGTGATGTTACACATATGGAGAATGTTAAACAAAACCATGATAACGGTATTACTTATGATATAGATTTAAACCAAGTGCAAGAAGGTCAACAATTTAATGAAGACGTTCAGCAAAGTGGGGTAATTATTTGGAATTTTATGTCTCACAAAAGTTGATATAGATGCTATACTGTGCCATCGATTAAAGCCTTGTAATATTAATTTCCTTTTCATTTTGTTATTTTAGCACTCCAGTCAAGAAATTGATCCACCTATGCTACCAACATCAATTGATTGTGCGTTACCTAATCAAAATGAAATAACACCTTTGGTAAGACACATACCTATAATCTGTTGTATTAGGTACATTTTTTTAACTTTAGTTGGAAATCACTTACCTATGCACTATGCAGGTATCGTATAGCCATAACTTTTTTGCATTTTCCAACATGTTTTAGTCATCGAATCGATGGAATCTTAAAAAAAGAAAAAGAACGACTGTCACTGCCATGGAGAAAAAAAATAATGCAGAAAGCTTTCAGACACTAATGGAAAATAAAATAAATTTAATAAACATTCAGAAGGACTGTTACAAAGTTGAGTTGTCTACCAAGGAAGAAGATAAAACAAATAGAAACGAGGAGTGGCAGCTTAAACAAAAAATTTTGGCTTTAGACATTCAGATAAAGGAAGAACAGTACAATGAACTAAAAGAAGAGCGCGCACGGAAAAGGACCCTATTCAGTTTGCAAGAAGAAGAACAAAAAATAAAAATAGAAATATTAAAATCCGAACTGAATATGAAACTTAAACAAAGTTTGGGGCTATCTTAATTCTCATTAATAATAAATTATACACAAATCACGTGTTACTTTTGTGATAAGTAAATTATAATATAGTAATGTTAAGGGTTACATCATGTTATTATTAGCCGTTTTAAAACCGAATCTGGTATAAGATGCATATTTAATTTTTGGTCAATAAATTTTTCAAATTGACATCTTATTTCATAGACAATATGTATAACAGTGATTGGATAACCACAAAGTAATACTTATAAAACAAAAACAGAAACACATATTTATTATACATCTAATGGTTTAATTAACAAGAAAAATAGCAAATATAAATAACTTAAGGTAGTGGAAGCAAGATTGTCCTGACAGTGTTTTTGATAAACCGAAATCTATTAAAAAATTGTTCTTCTGTACACTTTTCAAAATGGTTTATGCGTGTTTTTACTTCATATGTACGCAAATTATTCACGTAGTTTATCATTTCTTCATCGTTATCATCGAATAGCTCCTCCAATTCATTCAAATCCATTATTTTTAAAAACGTCAGTTCTGTCAAAAGTATCAAAACCACGTTAATCAGGCGGTAATCGCGGATAGATGCTCCGATTAAATTTAACTACGGACACGCCCACTTTAACTCCTGGTCAATAGTTGACAGTGTTTGAAAGTAACCGAAACGAAGGGTTAAAGTTTAACCGAGGTTTATATTTATCTAATCTAGACTGAAAGTACCGGCCCTTATAATGTTTTATTGTAACGTATGATGATAATAGTCTAAATAACTAAGTGGATCTCACAGGGTCTAACGACACTTAAAGTTTACGATAATTCAAGAATCATAGAAATCTAAAAAAATTAGATAAATTTGTAACGAATACATTGAATATGAATTTTTTGACAAAACGTCTGAATCTGGTTCGAGCTGAGGTAGTACAGTGTTATTGGGTCATGAAGGCTTGCAAGAAATGTAATAAAATTTCCAGTGTCATAATTTAAAAAATGAAGTAGATGATGGTCCCTGGAGAGACGAAATGTTATACACATAAATTGATTATGCCGTTCGATAGAGGCCAAAAATTTGCCATGAGAAAGTGTTCTTCTTTTTTCAATACCACCTCAAACAAGGTTGAAATGAAACAAAAACGGATTTCCAAAATTTGTTTTTTTTTCAAATATTTCGAAAACTAATCATGTTAGCCTAGATTTTTTAGAGACATAATGTTGGTCCCCTGATTAGGCAACTTTGCCGCCATTTAAGCTACTTCCTATCTCTTACAGTTTCCGAGATCCCTGTAGTGAGAAGCGAATTTGTAATAGCCTGTATATGATCTTTTGGTCAGTAGCCTCACAGAAAAATATACGATAATAAAGAAAGATTCAATGTACTACAAGAAATTGGCAAATATTTATATCTTTAAGAATATACAGTGCAAATTGGTTATAACGACATTGCTTCATAAGCCATATTGGATATAACTACGGAATTTGGAAGTCCCGGTTTAATCCTATAGAAATACCATATTAAAAATATCATTTACCACGGCACCGTTTACAACGACATTTCGGATTTAGCGACGCGTTTTTATATACATTTACCATAGAATCTGTCGGTTATAATGACCAATAGTGATATATGGCCTTAAAACCAATGCACCGCTCTTCTGCCCGCCCTGTCAACATCCACGCTTTCGACACCAGTTAGTAAGTTTGGGACAAATTACGACTACATATAGTTATATTATATGAATTAATTACCACTTTCTATAATAATGTCGAAGAGGAATGTGTTTAATAAAGAAGAAAAATTACATATAATATATAGATTAAAAAAGGGAGAAACTAATGCAAGCAAGCAAAAGAATGTGGTGTGTTGCTACGATTTCAACAATTTGGAAGGATAGAAATAAAGTAAAGTCTCTATGATGTCTGGGGATGATAATATTCCTTCTTTTATTGTGAAAGATTGTGCTGCAATTTTAGCCCGCCCCTTATGTAGACTATTTAATCTGGCTTTAAAAACTAGAACATTTCCAAATCGTTGGAAAGAGGCCAGAATTTGTCCTGTATTTCAAAATGGAGACAAGTCTAAAGTTGAAAACTATAGACCGATATCAATTATTTCTAATTTTTCCAAGGTCTTCGAAATAGTTCTGTATAATCGTATTTATCTTTCTGATCATAACCTAATTTCTCCATACCATGGCTTTGTTAGTGGTAGGTCAACTGTTAGCAATTTAGCTGCCTTTGCTGAATATGTCGCCCAAGTTTTAGATAATAGAGGACAGGTAGATGTGCTTTATACAGACTTTTCAAAGGCTTTTGATAGGATAGATCACAAGGTTTTACTTTATAAACTTGCAAACTGGTTTTTCTAACGATTTTATTGATTTTATTGAGTCCTGCTTATACAAGAGAATGCAACATGTTAGTTACAATGGTTTTGACTCTTGACTCTTATGTAGCAACCTCTGGAGTACCTCAGGGTTCGTTACTTGGTCCGTTACTGTTTGTTTTGTTCATTAATGATATAAATGAAGTAATCAGCTGTCGTAAGTTATTATATGCAGATGAATTAATAGTACATTGTGTAACAAGTGAGGAAAAGTTGCCAATAGCGCCACGCGGGCGCAGTTGACACACAAGCGAACCGAGTGCGGAAAGCGCCCAAGTAGCGCTGTGACAACTTTTCCGAAAGTTGCACATACTATTTTCTATCACAAGTGCCAGAAGTGCCACGGAAAGTGCCAGATAGTCACGCCGTTGTACTATCTGGCACTTTTCGAGCACATAACCCCCTACACTATAGGTCCCATAGGCGAGCGCGCGTGATAGAAAAATATTTTCATCCGTAACTAGTCTTGAAGATTGTAATAATTTGCAGAAAGAACTTGACAATATACAATCCTGGTGTGTTGAAAATAGATTACATCTTAACCCATCCAAATGCAAGATCTTAAGTTTTTCCAAAAAATTATCTGTCCATAAATTTAATTATAGTATTGATAATATTGTATTATCCGGGTGTGAGTCTTGCAAGGATTTGGGTGTATTGTTTGATGCAAAATTTTCTTTTACTGATCATCTAGTCCTTAAAATAAATGAAGTGTTACAATTTTATGGATTTATATTAAGAAACTGTAAGCAATTCACAGATATAAATGCTATTAAAACTTTGTATTTTGCGTTTGTGCGTTCTAGATTGGAGTATGCAGTGCTTGTTTGGTATCCTTTTTATAATATACGAAAGACGTTGAACGTGATCAGAGGAAGTTTTTGAAGTATCTGGTATTTAAAGATGTTGGTGTGTACCCTGAGAGGGGTATAAGTTACAGTGTGTTAATTAGTTGATTTGATATTACCAGTTTAGAGACCAGAAGAATTTGTATTTCAGTAATATATGCAAATACATGTACATACATAAATACATACTTATATTGTAAATTTATAATTTTTTCTACAAATATTTTAAATAAAATATATAATTGCTTATTATGTCTATAGGTTATAAGAACTTTAAACAAATCGTCTCTTGAAGGCCGTTATAACCGATTTTCACTGTATTTGTATTTTTACCTTAAAAGTTATACATTTATTTATACTAACCATGGGGACAACTTCTAACTAATCTCAAAGTTCAAAACCAAGATCCATATTTGTTTCTAAATTAATGGCTTTTAATAAAACAGACATATATGCATATGTCATGGAAATGAAGGATAAAGAAAATGAGAGCAAAAATATTGTCTCTTTACTCTCTTTTTGATGTGTGGTATAACTGGTATATATTGCAACCTTATTGTAATGTTTATATCCGTATTAAGCATTTAGGCAGTCAAGTTCAATAACCTCGCCACTCTAGACTTAAGTGTTTAGTTATGTTACAAGTTATTTAATATAGGGTTCATGTTTTTTTTTTCACTGCATGAAAATTTATATTCATTTAAAATTTAAAAAACTTACTCAGGGCATTTTAAATAAATTAAAATGGAATGTTCAGTCATAAACTAGAGAGTTAAAATTGAATTAAAGTATTTTAAAAATAGGGACATTTTTTTATAGTAATAAAAGTACAATTGCTATGTTACAACTATTCTGAGAGCGTAAAACTTTTAAAAATATCGCAATAACATGATAATATGATAACAGTCGATAGTGAATATTGTTTTTCAACTTTACCTGGCTACTTTGTTTTCTCAGTGTCAGTGTATAGTAAAATTTGTATCTCATTATGTTACAGAGCTGAAAAGAGTGAGATACTAAACCATGAAGAATTACAAATTGCTGATCAAAAAGTTGAATTTCTACGGGGTGCAATTACATCAATTATTAAAAAAATGGCTCCTAATGGTCCAACCAGTGAACTGGAAAAATTTATGGTAGGTTTATTTTTTTATCATATTAACTTATTTAAATTAATATTAAGAATGATATAATGTAGAATCCCCCTACTACACAAATTGATCAACTAAACTATAAAAAAAATCTTTAATAATAATTATCGTATCACGCTTAAGGAGGATTGGGTGCTTCAACAGGGGGGACGTGGGGGCCCTATACTTACCGTGTTATAAAATCATTGCTGTCAATGCAAAGAAAAATATTCTTTATGACTAGAAAGTAAGTAGATTGAGGTACTTGCTTGTAGATATTGAATTAAATCGAGTTTAAAATGCTTATACGTAATTATAACTATATTTCCATCTTTCAATTATTATTTTTAACTCAATAATAATGCATAAATAAACGCCACAAGTTGCAACAGCGCACGAGTATACTGAGTTTATTATTTGTAAGTTGGCAATCCTTGTCATGGATACAGGGTGTTTCAGTTCGAGTGTATCAAACTTTAACCACAAATAGAACTCGATAAATAATTTAGAGTTGCCTTATAAAGCAAGGGTCTTAAGTCTCACCGTTTTCACTGTACAGGGCCATATTGGTCAGTTTTTAAAATCATATTATTTCTGAAATCTTTGGTATGCTTATAATAAATTGTGTAGTGTTAACATTTACACGTTCATAATTTACTGTAAAATTTACAAATTTATGTAGGTCAATGGCGTAGGAATGAGTAGTAAAGTGGGATTTTTTTATCCCAACTTCTATGCCAATGACCGTGAACAGTTCTACATAAAAAATGTATACAGTTGAATGGGAGATCATTCTTCCGATAAGAAATTTAGTTTCTTAAGGATAGAAAATAAATTGTAAATTAATATTATTATAATGTCACGTATTAACTTAGAATTCAAAACAATATTATGTCTGTGGAGAATCAATTTGTTATAAGCATACCAAATATTTTATAAATAATATGATTTAAAAACCGACCAATACGGCCTTGTACAGTGGCATCAACTTATCGACATAAGAGTACATGGCATGCACTGTTCTTGGACAGAACTTTTACGTATTTTAGATTATCTGCAAACTGTGATTCATGTGGAAAAGTTTAAATATGATTTAGTTGCATGCATACTACTATGATGCACTTCTGTAAATACAAATGTTCCTTATAAGACATGGGTTTAAAGCGATTGCATTTATGAAAGTATAATACAATTTAATATATGTGATAGGATGTTAGTGCATCCAAAAATATTCTAAAAAATATACTGACATTATTGAAATGTTAATTTTAACATGAAAAATGATATTAAAAATGTCATAATTTATCAAAGTGCATAGGATTGTCACATGTGCTGTGATGCAAAGTATAAATATTTCATTGTTTATATGCTGCTGTATTTTTTACTTCTTGTATTGAAAGTTTATTGTATTGTATAAATAAAAAAGATTTCAAAAAACATGCTTCATTTGAAAATTTCCTATTTAATTTTATTATGACAAATTGAATTACACAAATAAACACAAGTTGAATGTAATCCATTTCTAGTAAATTGTTGTGTATCGAACGTTTATTTAAATTTCCCGCCACGTATCCTCATTCATACTCTATTGCGCTGTTGCCGTTACTCCTTCACGTTTATTGATGGCTAATCAGAACTTTTAATGTTTGAAATTTATTATTTCTCTGTGTAATGTGTGGTAATCTACTTTTTTCTTTCTCTCATCTGTTAATTAATGATTCAGGTAAATGTCTATATGTTTTTCATCTTAACATTTTCATTTTTCACCCGTAATTCACTTGTAAGGGCATTTCCCATAATAATCTATGTTAAATATTCAAAATTTTGGCATTAATTAAAAAAAAAACAATTCGAATTCAAGCATAATTCACAGAATTTGATTTCACATTGCAAAAATAATATACCTAGTAGGTATTACCTACCTTAATAATATGAAATTGGCTGCATTTTTTCGTAGCCCCCGATCCTTTTTAAGCTAAACAAGAATTGGATTTATGATTATTAATGTACAATAAGATACTCTTCAACCAACTTCATGTGACCAGTGAGCTGTGTTAATGTGGAAGAGTATGCACTACAATATAGAAAGTTAGAAAATCGAGTGGTGATATTACAAAAACTGGTAACGTGGAAATGGGAAAAATATTTGAGATATTACGTGCTACCATTGAATGCAATAAAACAATTATTTACATTCATTATTTACATAAAGATGTATTTATTTATTTGTTATTTTATTATTTATTACTTTTCTGCATTCCACATTTATAGTTTAATTTGATATTTTTGATGTGGGCTCCTTTACGTTTTTGCAATAATGCACAATGTTTACTCTATGTGTTCCGATAACAAAATGAGCTTCGCGGGACTCTCCTAAAAGGGAATCATAGTAATAAATCATATATTCTGTTTTTGTTAGTTTTGACCTGGTAGGTACCTAAATTTATTTAGTGTGCGATAAAAAAGTCAAAATTATTACAGACTACATTAAGGGGACGATTTAGTATGTATATTTTTACCATGTAACAGAGCTTCAGATGAGGACACAAATCATCGAAGAAACTAACATAATTGAATATTATTATATATCAATGTATTCGCAATGGTTCCCGCTAGTGAGTGAAATAAATTTCAATGCTCATGAGAACAGAAGAATAATTTAAATAAATGCCAAAGTACCTCAATTTTAACCATACTGTTAGTCTG